CAGCTGTTGCAGGGAAGCCACCAAATTGGCTCTGACAAACTATATGTCGAGAGAAATGTAATTGTGATGTAATATTGCGGGTTCTTTTGTATTGAATGTTATTAATTTTATTTATATCCGCTTTGATCTAGGACTAGAAGATTTCGTATGGTCTGAAGTAACAGGTCTCATTTATATTCGCTCTTTATAGACACGGATATAAAGGAAGTAAAGGGAATGTTTCGCGTGAGCCTTGATGAAGGCTTGAAGTTGTATGTAATTTAATGGTTCTGTCCTCCGTTTTAAATATAACAAAGTAAGCTCATTACCTGCTTCGCAAGAATGTCTCACCGAATCGGATCGTGGGCCAGAATATTCCAATCCTAGCTCTCATACCCATCTTAATTTCTTTTCTGCTGTCGACGTCTAGGCATTTCAGTGTCTGATCCAATCAAGTTTGACGAATTCCGTGGAGGAGAGTTATTGGGAAGCTGATAGTCTCTCGGATAGTCTAGAAATTAGGCACCTTTTGTGTGGCAGAGGTCCATTACCGTGTTTACAAGCGCCGGACACAACGCTGAGCCAGTGAAGTTCGTCTCCGTAATATATGGCGAAGTTCGTACCTCACAGGAAACACATTACGTCTCCGCTACGGAGCCCAACCGGCTAATTCTGTTTAGGGAAACAGTCGCTGTTTGCTGTGAGAACCATACGGAACACATAAATACACTGTGTGGGCAGAATGCAGAGTTTTGTTATATATACAAATCCATTCCGTACCTCACAGGAAACACATCACGTCTCCGCTACAAAGCACAACCGGTTAATGATGTTTAGGGAAACAGTCGCTGTTTGCTGTGAGAACCATATGGAACACACAGATACACTGAGTGGGCAGAATGCAGAGTTCTGGTATACAAGTAGTATACGGGTATATGTTAACCAGTGCACTTTAAAGGGTTAAACACAGTATCTACTGTAGGAACGACTTGGTTTATATCCCTAAACAGTATTAACTGGTTGGTCTTTGTTGTGAACAGTGTTTTCTGTAACGTGAACTGTAAAGCCTTCCCTGTGCTTAACTAATTAAGCACTACGCCATGAACGCGTCTGTGGAAATGGATGTATAGACACATATTTAATTGACCACGGCACTAGTTGATGAGTGATCAGCTTCACGCCTCGGCCGTTTTACCCCAGGGGAAAGCTTTCCCGGTACCCACTGGGCGGTTTACCATTTCACTTAGATGCAAAAGGACCTTATCACTAAACAGGGCATTGGAATAAGTGTAAGATGGCACTGATTGGTGCAGTATCATCCGGTCACTAAACCCTTCACGTCTGTCACGATGTTCCTGCATGTATATGACTGTGTAAGGATGGTACTTGTTTCACTTTAAAATGTGTGCAACAGATGTGACTTACTCCTGTTTCTTTTTTCTCTCTGTGAGGTAGGAATTGAATTTGTGTATATTTAACGTTGGGCTGTGCAGAATAAATGAGCAATTTGTGTACGTTTACGGACATGACTGTACTAGCAGTGTTGATGTTTATTACATTTCTGCATTCCTAACCTCTTGACTTCTCTGCGTCACGTAACCTTTCAGCCTCTGTTTTGCCTGTTCGGAAAGAAACCAAAGTCAACTAGTTCAATCTCGAAACATTTATAGTAATCGCTGTTCCAGTTAATCTTTTGAATCCTGGAGAGAAATGCAGGGGCAGTTTTGAGCAGTCTTGCTGCAGTTGTCAGTAATGGGTCCAACCTGGACACCTTTCGCTGGTTATTACCAGTCACAAGATTGAAATAGTACTATTTAGTTTTTTTTTTCCTTGTGGTTTTGATGAAACCCGAAGTTGATGGGCAAACTGCTACTGGCGGTCGCCAGCACAGTCATTCTTGATCCCGAGTCCCACTGGACTCATTGCCCTGTGTTTTACTGTCTCGCGATTCCCTGAGTCGTGCTGCTGTACCCCTCTACTCCGGAGTCGATTCAAGTCAAAATTATGTCACGGCCCAAAATCGGTCGGACAACCTCTCCTAGTGTTAAACCCCACCTGGGGCCCAAGACCAAATTTTTGTTACTGTCGAGACAGTTGCGGGTTTGATGATGTGGGGCGCCCTCTCTAACAAGAGGACGGGTCTGTCGTTTAAAATTGCTGCTGGTCCTCGCCAGCGCAGTGTTTCTCGGGTCCGAGTCCCGCGAGACTCATGACCATATTCGAAATTCGCCCAACCTGGAAGGTCAGGTCACCATATTTATATACCCCAGGAACAGGCTGGCCAAGTTATAGTCCTAGGCAGCTTTCAGATTCAAAGTTCAAAGTCACATTGCGACTCACGATCATTGAGTCAGTAAGTCTTGGTGTCGAGCTTGCATCTGGTGCTCATGACCAGATATTTATTACTGTTTGACAGTTACGGTCTTCTTTTTGTGGGGCGCCCTCTATGACGAGAGGACGGGTCTGTATATGCTGCTGGTTCTTGCCAGCGCAGTCTTTCTCGGGTCCGAGTCCCTTGGGACTCGAAACCATATTTTACTGTTTCAAATTTGAGTCTTCTCCTTTCATCGCCTCGTAGGACTATCAGGTTCATGGTGGAGGTATTCGATCCCTCCTCCACACGGGGACCTAGGCAGCTTGGTTGTTTAATTAATATTTTAAGAGTCATCCGTACCTCACAGGGAACACTTCGTCTCCGTAACAACGACCAACCGGTTAATGCTGTTTAGGGAAATAATACTTGTTTATTGTGAGAACCACACGGAACAGTTAATACCTGTATGGACAGACGGCAGAATATGGGAACGCTAGAACATACGGTATATATAGTAACGATTGCGCTTTAAACGGATAATCTGCAGACTGTCCCAGAGCGTTACAACTGAAATTGATCGTGTTACGGTAATGTAACGGGAACCGTCTGCTGTCCTATTCCCACGGTTCGTTGGACAGTAATTAATAGAAATCTGATCTCTTCCTAGAACTACCTCTGCACATCTGCTGCAGGTGGTCATTCCTGCCGCACTCACCGGACACTACTTGGTCTACTGAACTGTCGGTATAGCGACAGGCTGGACGCCCGGGGTTCGATTCCCAGCAGAGGCGGGAGATTTTTCTTTTCTCCACAACGTCCAGACCGACTCTGGGGCTCGCCCAGCCTCCTATCTGTTCAGTGCCGGGGACTCTTTCTCCCGGGATAAAGCGACCGGAGTGTGAAGCTGACCACTATCTCCACCTAGTGCCGAGGTCAAGAAAATGTGGATCTGTACATCCACTCCTCTTCATGGCGTAGTGCTTAATTAGATAATCATAGGGAAAATTTTTACCTTTTAAAGAAAGAAGCCCTTGTTTGTTTGTTAGTTAAATGTCGCAGGTGTTCGTGGGGAGGGTCCCACCAATCTGGCTTCTAGTGCGGTCTCGACTGTGGGCTCCATCAGTTCTGGAGCTGAGAGCGCTCGTATTCGTGGCCACTGAACTGAATTGCGCTTCCGTTCACTGAGCGCTGAAATTGGCGGATTCTAAATTTGGAGTATCGCCGTTCAATTCAGATGCAAGAGATCCATACGATGTACTTCACTTTGCAATGTAATTAAAACCCGCAATTACACAACCCTCTTCTGTGGAACTTATTAAAAAAAGCCTTTGAAATCACAACGCGGCCATTAATCACGTCCACGCGTCGTTATGTGTCGTGTAATGACGCGTGGAGCAGAGGACAAGGGCTTCGGATGCTTTGTTCATGCTTTACTTGGTTACATGGAAATTAGATCTCGTATACCAGAGACCGAGCAGATTATATTAGCGGTAACGTGTCTAATGGCGCGATACACGGTTCGCATCTTGACGAGGGCTCCTGACTGGATACTGCATCATTACGAAGTTACGTTGTTAGAACGCTGTTCAGACCTTGCGAGATTGACAGTCTCACAGCAGTGACTTTAAAATTGCTGTATTCTGGGATGTGGGCGCCTTGTGGCTCCGTAGATAGGCAGGCCTGCTTTTTCAGTGCAGCATGTCTCCATTCATACCCACCCATTTGGCTGCCCTCCCGATGTCAAACCGCCTTTTGCACGCTGTTTAATTTTGTGCTCTACAGATGTAGGCAGCTTATTTCTCCGGAACGTTGATAAATATCAAACTGTACGACATCACAACACAAAAGGAAGTTTGTCCATAGTCAACTTTACTGAGAACCACGGATCTCACGTACTCCGACGCCATTGCTCCTATAAGACTTCCGATAAACAGTTAGTGACTTACTCTCGAGATCCGGGGGCATGCTGTAGCGTAGTTGGTTCAGGAACTACGCTACAAGCCTGAAGGTCGCGTGCCCGAGTCCCCGATGAGGTCATTGGATTTTTCAATTGGCCTAATCCTTACAGGCGCAGTATGAGCGTGAGGTCGACCCAGCCTCTGGCAGAAATGAGTGCCAGGAATCTTCTGGGGGTAAAAGACGGCCGTGTGTAAGCCTCGACGACCTGTTACCTTTTCACCCAACTAAACAACTGCCATGAGTACCCAGTCGTTGCGCGTAGACATGCGGACAGACAAACGTGGGGAAACTCTTTTAATAAGCCCATTTTATGCACCTCTTCGATGTGAACGTACCAAAAGAAAACTTAAATAGTCTGATACAGAAATGCATGCTTATTGTACCGTATTATGGAGATGAAAATGCAAAGAAAATTTTGGTAGGAAAACCTGCAGAGTCCACTTGATAGAGACTTATGCGTAGATTGGAGGATAATATTGAAATGTGTCTCAAGTAATAGGGCGTGGGGGCGTCGAATGGATTCAACCAACTTAGGATAATGCCTAGTGGTGGCCTGTTGTGAAGACAGTAATGAACGTTCAGGTTCCATAAAAGCTGGGCCATTTATTTAGCAGCTTGAAGAGGTGTTATCCTCTCTAGAACGATTTTGGTCCATGGTTGTCTCATTATTGCATGCCATATCAGACATCATCGCTTTCATTCGATACATTGAGAAGTCTCTAATGCAGCTGTGCTTTCTGTATTGCAGGGTGGGCACAATGCGTCGCTTCTAACACCATGGCAGTCAGCTGGCTCTGTGGGGCCCTGTTTGTGGTGCTCCTCGCGCCCACTTGGGCTGACAAGGACTGGACCAACTGCCCACAGTTCTGCAGGTGCAAATGGGTGTCCGGTCGCAAAGCTGCTGAATGCACAAACTCCAGTCTGACGGCTGTGCCTGAGCAACTGAGCCCCGAGATACAGATCTTGGACCTCACTGGCAGCGCTCTTCATGTGCTCCCCAAGGAAGCGTTCCTCTCAGCAAGGCTCGTCAATCTACACAAGCTGTTCCTGCGGGACTGTGGCATTCAGGACGTGCACAAGGAAGCTTTTCGGGGCCTCGCCATTCTTATCGAATTGGACTTATCTGGGAATCAAATCCATACTTTGCACCCAGGCATATTCCGTGACAATGTCCGCCTCAGGACCCTGTCCCTCAGCCGCAACCCAATCCAGAAGCTGGAAGATGGCCTGTTCAGCAATATGACGTTTCTGTTCACTGTAGATTTGAGCGGATGTCAGCTGTCACACATTGGGCGGAAAACATTTGTAAACACACCAGTTCTCAAATCTCTGGTTTTGGAAGGAAATAACTTGACAACAATAAAAGTCCAGACTTTGGATCATCTATATATGCTTGCGGGTCTCGTTCTTCACAATAATCCGTGGATATGTGACTGCCATCTGAAGGAGTTTCGAGACTGGACGATATCACGCAATTTATATGCCAAACCAACTGTGTGTGTTGAGCCGCCTGTACTTAACGGCAAATATTGGAGTGACTTGAATTCTGATGACTTTGCCTGCAAACCTCAAATAGTGTACCCACCTTTCGGCACAACCATTGAAGTTGATGGTGGAAATGTGACTCTGACATGCCAGGTTCAGGGAAATCCCATGCCTGATGTCCACTGGGTGTTCAGCTCCAGAATAATTGGCAACTACTCGAGGAGGACGTATGGGGACCAGAGGTACGTGGTGACCGAAAGCAGTGATAAGACTCGCTGGGTCAACCTCACAGTGACAAATGTCCGCAACCAGGATCGCGGTGACTACACATGCGTTGCAAAAAGTGGTGGTGGTGTTGATGAGAGAAACATATCTCTTGTGGTGCATTATCAGCAGGGTGCTGTTGGGACAGCAGGGGATAGAGGGGCATTGTCAGGCACGTGGCTGCTGATTGTTGGGCTGGTGGCAGGGGTTCTGTTCACCGCTGCTGCCATAGTGTTGTTATGTTACTGTTGTTACTTCAGGCATCACAACAGCAACAACAAGAACTCTGATACCAAAAAGGCTCCCAGTGATGTTATATTGTCTTCTAATGGTGACATCAGCGGTTATGCTGGGAACAGTGAGCAGGAGAAGAGCTTGCTGACAAAGGTCAACCCTGTGCAGAAGCCTCCCCGGAGACATGAGAGGCCATCTGTAACCAGCTCTGGGACAGAGCTCGCAGACATGAAATGCAACCTGCTTGACAACGGTTCCGTGTTACGTAAGTATTGTGAGAGGAGCCAAGTGTGGAAATGGCTCTTCAGAACTGGGCAGGTGCTCAAGAGCAGAGAGAACCATGGGAGAATGACATATATGTAATCATGAAAGAGATTATTAAAATGCAGGTTCAGGAATTTGATGCTGTAGGTATTGCAAGGAACAATTGCTTCAGTGTCTGGAGAGGGCTTGAAGAATGTGCATTTCTTGCACTGACCACAGCACAGATGGTACAGGAAACCTCATTTTCAGAGTGTGTACATTATATTCAAATCATTATACCTGAGAGTTATGTGTTGCCCCAGTCTCAAACACCATGGGTGGTTGACATTCACAGAATGAAGCTCGTAGCCTACAGTACCTCTGCGCAATAGAATACGTATGATAGAGATGATCCATGCATTCACATCACATAGTAATGACCTGTGATTGATTAATAAATTGGACGTTAATTCTCTAATACTTTAAACAGCGGGATGTATAAAGTTGGTTTAAAACACTATGAGATGAGAAAAGAAATGTTAATATAAATTTAAACAGAGGAAGCATATTGTACGTAGCTGATTCCAAAAGTAAGGTCTCCAAAGCGCTGGGTAATTTTTCGTGCGGCTGTTGGCAACCGTGTTGCATTCGTTGCTTCCCCCACTCCCCCCAGTACCGCCAAGCATGCGCGCACGTAGCTAGGACGCTCAGTCTTGGCACGGTCGCCGTTAGAAATGGAGCTCCCGATTACTAAAACCGCGAAGTGTGAGATTCGCGCAGTTATTCGGTTTTTGAACGCAAAAGGGACTAAACCAATTGAAATTCATCGTCATTTGGTGGAAGTGTATGGCGAGTCGTGCATGGACATAAAGAACGTCCGCAAGTGGTGTAGGGAGTTTGAATCTTGTCGTACTGCAATACACGACGAAAAAACTGGGAGACCGTCAATTTCTGACGAGACAGTCGCGAAGATTGAGCGAGTCATGCGTCAGGATAGGCGCATCACACTCGATGATCTCTGCATTTCGGTTCCCGAGGTTTCCCGAACCACCATTTATCGGGTTTTGACAGAGAAGTTGAATTATCGGAAGGGGCGCGCAAGATGGGTCCCGCGAATGCTCACGGAAGACCACAAACGGCAGAGAGTTGACTCTTCCCGTGAATTTCTTCGCCGCTATGCTGACGAAAAGGACAACTTCTTGAATTCAATTGTCACAGGCGACGAAACCTGGGCGTACCACTTCACACCTGAGACAAAACAACAATCACGTCAGTGGCGGCATTCCTCTTCGCCTAAGCCTCGAAAATTCAAGCAAACACAGTCTGCCAGTAAAGTCATGGCAACTGTGTTTTGGGATCGAAACGGGGTATTGTTGGTTGACTTTATGGAAACTGGGACCACAATAAACGCTGAGAGATATTGTGAGACACTGAGAAAACTCAGGCGGGCGATTCAGAACCGGAGAAGAGGGATGTTGAGCAAGGGCGTAAGCATTCTCCACGATAACACTCGCCCCCATGCTGCCCGACAAACCGTCGCTCAACTGCAACAGTTTGGATGGAACATCATCACCCATCCACCCTATAGTCCGGACTTGGCGCCCAGTGACTACCATCTCTTTCCAAAGTTGAAAGAACATTTGTCTGGAAAGCGCTTCAACAACGACGATGAGGTGAAAGCTGAGGTTCGAAGTTTCCTGAACAGCATGGAGGTGAACTGGTATGACATGGGCATACAAAAACTGCCACTGCGCCTACAAAAATGCATCGACCGAAATGGCGATTATGTAGAGAAATGAGTACATGTTCAAGATTCAACTGATGTATCAAAAATTGAAAATAAATGTTTATTTTATATTTTCAAACACAGGAGACCTTACTTTTGGAATTTGTTAATTTATAGGCTCTGGAGTCTATGAACAATATGAATTACCATATTATGAAAAACCATGCCTGTAATTTATACTTGTTTCTGGTTATGGGTGGGGGGGCATGCAGTAGCATAGTTGGTTGAGGCACTATGCTACTAGCTGGAAGGTCATGGGTTCGAGTCCCAGTAAGTTGAAATTTTTTCAATTTACCTAATCCTTCTACCTATACAATGGCCCTAGGGTTGACTCAGCCTCTTAACAGAAATGAGTACCAGGAATCTTCCTGTGGGGTAAAGGGCAGCCGGCATGTTAAGGCTGCCAACTTTACCGCCATCTGTGAGTGGGTTGTCTAGAATTATGTGGGAGCCTCAACATCTTAAACTGTATGGGCCTTCATGGCCTGCTACAGGGATAGCTGTATCTTTTTTTTTTCTTCTGGTTTTGGGCTCATAACAGAAATTGTGGAGTTATGCAAAGTTGTCATGTTTCAGGTAGTCATTTTGTATAAAATGGAAACAGTTCTATTACAGCAATTTGTATATACTTGTATGTAGAACTAAGTTGTGCGTAATGAGAAATTCTGGAACCGAAACACACCAGTGAGTATTCAGATCATGAAGTTTATGGTGATGTTGCAATGCCAAGTTCAGGATGATGGCCAGACATACAAGTGCTGCTTTACACAGGCAGTCCTCAGCTTTAGAACGCACTCTTTGCCCTTGCATCAGCAGCAGCGATCATTCGGGAGAGGTGTACTGGAAAGTAGATATTACTCAATATTTGTGAACAAGGAATTTTATGTGTGTATGTCGTGCCATTATATGTCCACTGAGTGGACTGATTCACTATTCCTTTCCAAGCTTTGTGTGTTATACACAAGATATCGTACTGATATGTTGGGTTTTTGGACTTTATCCATCGTCCTGGTTTTTAAGATAACAAATAAAAACACGACATTTCGGAAACTGGATCTGTTTCCATCCTCAGGTGAAGGGTCCAGTGATTGAGGCTAGCTCTTTCTAAGGGACCCAACTGAATAGGTGTTTTCCTTCACCTGAGGACGGAAACAGATCCAGTTTCCGAAACATCATGTTTTTATTTGTTATCTTCGAAACCAGGACGATGGATAAAGTCCAAAAACCCAACATATCAGTGTGTTATACACCATCGTCAGAATCCTATAGTAACTACAAGATATCGTATCTGTAAATATTTCATCTTCTGATATAAAGATTGTTTGGTGTGTCTCAAGATCAGTACAATTGTCATGTGTCATCTGTCAGCAGTGGAGATCTGTATCACTATAGAAATGTACTGACAGAGAAAGGTTTCATTTTCTGAAAACTTAGCATGGAATGAGTTAGGAGAGGTCAGTCATCCATTTTGGGGCAGTGCAGTATAACTCTCAATTTGTGAACCTGTCTAGTACTTTTTTTAAACAAAATCATCACCAAATATTCCTGTTTATACAAGGACATCTTGTACATCACTCACATCAGGAAGTAATTGTGATCATCTGGGTTCGATCCCGGGTCTGGTCAAGTGGGATTTGTGGTGGACAAAGTGATGCTGGGGCAGGTTTTCTCCAAGTACTTCGGTTTCCCCTGCCAATCTTCATTCCATCAATTGCTCCACAATCACCCTCACCTATCATCTGGGGCTGGTACAATAGGCAAGAAGTGGCCACAGTACAAGGGACTTAGTCCCACCCCACTAGCAATAAAAATATAATAATTGTGATCATGTGTCATGCAGAGAACTTGTCTGCCTTAAATGTCATGTAGTTACTGTTTGACTTGGTTATGTAGTTTGTTTCAGCCTTTCCTTCCTGTGCATATTACAGCCGTGTAATTCAGTGATAAGCTTAATTTTTTCATTCTGCTAACAATTTAGTTACGAGCTGCATAGCTCAGGCAGTTAGACACTAGCCTGTCATCACACAGTCTCAGGGTCAATCCCAGATGAATTCTTGTGAGATTCATTAACTGTGTCTGTAGTGTTGGCTGTGTATTCTGATGGTAGCCAAAAAAGGCAAAGGCAAAATTGTTAGTTTCACTAGCTGGACTTGTACTATATTATGTGTATGAAGGGCCACTTCTGTACAAGCTGCAGTGTTTATGTGTCTGCATGTATGGGAAATGTACCGAATGCTTGAATTTCTTCTTCCAGATGGAGGCAGTAGTGTGGGTGGCAGTGAAGACCGCTCAGTAGACTCGATGGACACGGCCCCACAGCAGCAGTCTCAGGAAGGGATTGAAAGTGACGCAGGACTCTTGGAGAATGTGCACACATACCCTCCCGACCTTTTGTCATTCCCTGCCCGAGCAAGTCAAGTGTCTCCTGCTGGAAGCACAGCCTCCACAGCCCCGGACAGCACCCGTCTCCCAGCCCAGCATGGGCCGCAGTCCCCAATCCACAGCCCAGTTTATGTCCCGCTCCCTGGCATGTCTGGCACTTTGCCCTACTCCCGTTCCCAATCCCCGTTCTCCCCTGTGGTCCTCCCTCGCCAAGGTTACGTCACCATCCCACGACGCCCCCGAGTTCCTTCTTGGAGCAGTGCTCCAACTCCAGAGCAGGGTGATCCACTGTTCAAATTTGAACCAGTGTATGATAACCTGGGCCCAAGAACCACAGCAGATGGGAGCTCGGTCCTCTCGCTGAACAAGAGCCCAGGTGCTGACCCTACGAATCAGCAGCCGTCTTCCATCCGTAGTCGCCCCCTACCTCCAACACCTAATTACCACAATATCGCCCTGCCGGCCTATTATGCACCTATTGAGGAACTAGAGGGTCAACCGTCCCCTGCATTAACCAGAGCAAATCCAGGTACACGGGGTAGTATGAGGAGGAGTACGCCCAACATCAGTGTGACACCCAGTGCAAACCCTGCCCCACAAGTTGCAGCAGCCAACAAATCTTCAAAACCAGATAAGATGAGTAATCCCACCTCAGGAAGGCAGAGGGACAGTTGGGCAGGCAGAAGTGCACCAGAGGGCGCAAATCTGAAACGACGTGAAGAGGAGCCAGGGACTACCAGTAAGAGAAACTCTTTTGTGGGCTCTCCATCAGGCAGTTTGCTGCCTAATGGACACAGTAGGGAGGTCAAAGTTCCTCCAAAACCACCACCAAAGCCAAAAAAGAAGAACACAGAATCCGTGACAGGACCTTTATTTGAGGACGAAGGTGAAGATGGCACTGAAGTGTGAGCTCAATGTGAGAGATTCCAGTGCATGGTGCTGTAGAGAGGACCAATCATAAAAAGAGCAGGAAAAGTTGTTAAAATGATGCTAATGGTAGGTTTTACGACAGGGTAACAAAGATACAAATTGTATATAAGTTTGCCTATTTAAAATTTAACGAAATCTCAATTACAATTTAGACAGTGGTGCAGGAACTGATGGAAGTGTCCAAGTCTGGCACCTGCCACTAATAATCAGTGCCTTGAATCTGTAGAATGCAGCTGTTAGCATGTGGATATCCTAGCTGATTTGTGGGTGTTTGTGTGTGAGTGAGTGAGTGAGAGAGAGAGATGGGGAGAGAGACTGCATGTGCATACAATTTCTTGAGATATTATATGTACTTGACAAGGTAGAGAGCATTTTACATTAGGGCAGGCCCACTTTTTCTTTTAATGTGGACCAAATTGTTGTAATCCAGCTGTTTCCACTTGTTCCTTCCTTTCATTTCAAGGCTTTGTGAGACTCATTTTAGTGAGGATTTCTGGAAGAATGTTACACAGTTGCTTAAATGAGGAAGGGGTTTGGTGTGTAGAAATTAAGACAAGATGTTAATGATGTGTTGTTTGTTAAAACTTCCTCATCCTTTTTGCAATCTTAACTCTGCAAGCAACAGATTAGTTTGTGTGAAAATTTTAAGAAAGAAACACTTTCATACGGGAAAATACAAATTCCTCTCATCTTATTCCTATGCATTAACTACCAGAAGAATTTCCAAAGCCTGTGAAGATACAGCAGTGACCATGCAATCATAATGGGACAGTAAATTTGTATATTTTGTGGTGGATGTCTTCTGACAGTTGACCTATACAGGAAAATTACTATGTTTGAAGCCTTCCAGCAGAGATAGGAAAGGGTTAAACTCGTGAAACTTTGATTTCTTCATCAATTTGTCACAGTAACATTACGTATCTGATTAGCGATGACCAATGCTTTGTTCACTCTGTTTTAGACAAATATGTAACATATATTCCTTTTGTGATGGAAAATGCTGGAGAGTATTGTGTGCCTAATTTAAAAACAAAAATGATAGTTCCTTTTACCTTAATGACCAGTTTGTATTCTGTGCTCAGTAGCTGTATTTTAAGTTCCTTGGATTTTAACAGCTGTGACTGTGAAGAGTACAGTTGTCAGTAGTTCAGAGAAAGATGTTGCAGCGGAACACATCTCCTTTCACCTTCAGGGCTGAAGATTAAACCAAGCAAGAAGCTTGCTGTGTGCTTCTGATTTTTTTGCTGGGTTTATTCATATATCCTGAAGATAGAGACAGTATGTTCCTCAGAAACATCTCAGGCTTTCTTTGAAGTACACAGCATTGTAACCCAGAAGACTGTCCTCTTCGTTATTTAAATTATCAAAAGCATATGCCTGATACAAATAACCTCAGAAATATTATACTGCAGCATCCTGTTGCACTGTGTGCTCTTTGTGCTCACACTCCTTGCTGTCTTTGTGCAACCTCATTGATATATTAATGTTCACACATCTTTGTTTCTTTATTATATAACACTACATGCTTTGGCCCAACTGGCCGTCATCAGATGTATTGCTGTTCAGGTTTTCTTTTCATTTTCGATGTAAATGCTTGAGAATATTCTAGGTTATCATGCTGTTGTTATGCATGTATCTGGTGTATGTGATAATATGTAATGAGTTATATAATATCAAGTTGCTTGGTTTAAATGACAGAATGGTGCCTACTTTGATGGCAGAGTATAATGAACTTGTAAGGATATTTGATTTGTTAATTCAGATACTTAATGACTGCTTTATGCAACATATTGTCACATGTTGTGGTGTGTCACACGACAAATAAATATACATGGGTCTCGGATTCAGCGAATCTTTATTGGTCGTTCACTCTTACACACCTTACAATCATCACCACTTGCTGTATTACAATGACTGCTTACAATATCTCGGCCAGTACATCTGTATCTCTCGGCATCTACCGCGAGACTGTCTCCTTTGACAATTAATTCCAGACTACTTCTTCGGCGACTAATACCAGACTCTTATCGAATGTATTGCCTACTTATATGTCTGCGGCCGTTGCTATGCATTGGACCGTCTATTCCAGTGTTTCCATAGAAGTGACTCTTCTGGATTCCAAACACATTACAATATGATTAGTATAGCATTGTGATGGCTACATGTTTCCTGTAAGGCTTACAGTGGGAGCAACGTATATACATGTTACATAATACACAACATTAATATATCAGCGAGGTTTCACAAAGATGGCAAGGAGTGGGAATGCAAAGTTAGAACTTCAAAAAGTTATTTTCCATGAAGTCTATTACATACACAATTATAGGAGCCCTTCACAGACCAGAATTGTTTATGAAATATTATTCTAGATAGGGATTTCTCTGAAGAAGTGGGTAATTTTTATTTTGATTTCCATTTTAAACAGAGGTCTAGAGAAGCCTTGCTGGAAGAGAACCAGAAGGACCATAAAAGTGATGGCATGAAGCTGTACGAAGTCACTTGGTTTACATGACAGAATGGTGCCTACTTTGATGGCAGAGTATAATTAAAGTGTATCTTGTAAGGATATTTTATTTGTTAATTCAGATACTTAATTAGTGCTTTATGTAACAGATGATTAGTATAGCATTGTGATGGCTACATCTTTCCTATAAGGCTCACAATGGAAGCAACCCACAGACATGTTTAACATAGTGGAAATATGTATTGCATATTGGAACATACAGAGCTTCCAGAGTTGTTTTTATGATAATGTTATGCTTTCATCTTTAGGTTTATCAACACAGTGTGTATAAACTAAAATCTCAAGATCAGTTCTTAAAAGTGTTCTGTTGATAGTACACTGTTACACTTAAATTACCAGGTTTATAGGCTTTGTTCTTTGTTCAGTATTCAAAAGAGAACGTATTTCAGAAACTAGATCTGTTTCCATCCTTAGGTGAAAAGGTGGGAGGTCACGTTCCTACTCAAATTATCCAGTGATGAAATTGGCCATTTATAATAATGTGTAGATGCCTTCCCACCTTTTTGCCTGAAGATGGCAACAAATGCAGCTACACAAAACATTTGTGTTCTGTTTGGCTTACTAGGCAGTGGGCAAAGCCTATAAATTCCGTAATACCAAGTAAACTCTTAAGATGGCCATCTGCAGCAGCTAGAAATAATTCTTCCATTTATTCATGCAAGAATATTCATAACTGAAATACATAAGTTCTCTTTATTTATATTTATGTCAGTGCAAAAAGGAAATACTGTTTTTCAATTCATGCATTAAAAATTTTAAGTGAAATGACCTTGTTTCTTTAATTTATGTTTCTAACCAATATACTTGAACTCGTCTGTATAGTCCTGTGATATTGTTTCTAAGAAATATTAATTTTGGTTGAATGACTGGACGAAAAGCTTTTCACTGATTTCAGGACATCTTCCAGTACTACTATTTATCTGCCTTGTTTAACTACTCCGTTAATTCTGTCCAGTTTTGTGTTTGTGACATCATCGTTGTTTGCAAACCAAAATTGACTCACTGGTTAACATGATGGCAATAATTCCATCATCAAAGATTACGTTGGTTTAAGTCTATATGCATCTAAACCAACTGACAGAAGTTTGCATATGCGTTATCAGTATTACAGTTACAAGATGTGATGTTAAGTTCAAGGTTTCTGGTGAGACCACGCAGTTTGTTGAATAACTACCAGCACTTCAGAGGAACCTGCTACAATTCTCTTTTGTGCCAGAAGGAATGGTGCAAATGTATATATTGTAGGGAATGTCTGTAGATTTGGGAGGAACCTTGAGACAAAGGAAGGATTCTGTTCTAGACATCTGCAGTAAGTTTCAGTAGGCGTAATACTGGAAGGGATGATGAATATATATGTTCAAAACAAATATGCGAGAGAGGGAGAGAGAGAGAGAGAGCAAGTGAAACTTAGTGTGTTTAAGACACAGACTGTATGCACACTGTGTCTAAAACATCTTCAAGGGTGCAATGTAGATCATTACATTGTCAGAAATTGATTAATTCTGATTTCAACATACAACCTGAACCAGAATTTGCCATGCCACAAAACCTGTTGAACACGCAGGATTTTTGTTCCATGTGATTGCTTGCTTAAGCACGACGTACCCACAGAGATGTCCCATGCAAGCAGTAATATTGCTTATCCTGCAGAACTGCCTTGTGAATAATGGAGCCATGAGAACTTAGTGATGCATACAGCTTGTGCCTAAACAACTTAATTTCAACTTCTGAGTATAATTAAAAAATATGAAGTTAACAGTGACAGGCTTGTGGCTACATCTGGTCCCAGAACCTATGATTAGGGTGGCTGTATGCTTTGAAACAAAATCCAGGACATACTCTGAAGAGAGGGATGAACAAAATGCAGAGGAGAGGGGGGAGGGGGACGTATACATACTGAAAACTGATCACACATGTTCTTTAAAATTTAGAATGGAAAAAACTTATATTGGCATAGCATTAACACTGTACACTGGTACCATGCAGGTACTGAGTATGAATCACAGCCATGACAACAGCCACCATGACAATTTATGGTTTTCCTCAGTCCCTCCAGGCAAATTCTGTAATATTACTGTGATTTGGCCATGATGACAGTTTCCTTCCAAATCTTTTCAATTCTTCATTCATGCATCATCCTGCCATTCCATGCTGAATAGTTCAGATACTTGCATGTGGTAGCACAGTTGGTTGAGGCACAATGCTACAAGCCAGAAGGTCACTGGATTTTTCAGTTGACCTAACCCTTCCAGCTGGTGCGTAAGGCTGACAACCTCACCGCCATCTGTAAGCCGATTGTCTTGAAAATGTGGGAGCTTCGATGTTTCATGACTCTGTAGGCCTTCACAGCCTGTTACAAGGATAGCTTTACCTTTTTTATTTTTACTGTGTCATAAAATAAGCTGCTGCGCTTGTTTTGTCATCATTTGTTTTCCCTGGTGACAGTGAAGCCCTGTGTTGTAACTGGCTGTTTGAGAACACACATCGCCTTCCATGACAAAGTTTTGTTGTAAGAGTGAAAACTGACAGGGTTAGCCTATGCGTGATCTGACTGCCCCACTAACATCAGTTCTGGGATTCTATGTCTGGAAAGGCATGCATTTGTGTAGGGTACAAGCACTGACAGTAGGATTTTACATATTAACATCAAAACAAGGGGTATGTGGTTAACTATGGAAAATGTCACTGATTGTAAAGTACCTGGTTCAATTCTAGCGTGAAAATTACATTTGATTGACAATTAACTGTTAATACAACTTTTTCAGAGCACAAATGGAGAACATGGCTCATCGTGATATAAAGTGTGGTTATGTTGTTTCCAAGCTGATGTACTTGTTCTTAGCTTGGGATGTGGTTGTATTACATTGTAGTACCTAAAGCTCTGAAGTAGTACTAACACTCAAATGCTGTCCTCGATATCAGTTGATTAGAAAGGTTAAAAAATACTGTTTATAAATATATGGCCGACATACTACCAGATCTACTTACAACCTGTCAGTCAGAACGGAAGTCGGTTGTAAGTCGATGACCAAGTGTACATTGTGCTCGCTGTGTGATATGATGGTGTGTATGGAAATAATTGCTAGTTAGCATATGAAGCATATAAATAAACTGTTTGGGAAATTACACAATTTAAGGAAAATTATTCAATGGACTTCTTTCCAAGGTCTCTGGATTCGAACCCAAAGTTGTAATGTGCGGTTGGAAGAAACATAAATTGAAACTACTATTATATATGAGGAGGCTGTCAGATTCAAATCCAAGACATTTTGGATAGTTTCACAGTGCATGTAAAATATTTGCCAAGTGTCATTAAGTGATTATGATGACTGGAATATACAGCCAACATTTTAGGTTATGCAGTCTGTCTTAATCTATTGGAGCGCCAAAACGTGGTATAAACCATTGACCTTGTAGTAGTGACGGTGTAGATGGGGTGGGGGTGGTCATACACATGCCTTGCACCTCTTTTGTTTGTTTCGTTTCTGTCACCACTCTGACGTCATTTTCTAAGGACCGCAGTGGCAGATCATTGTAATCACCACCCTGGGCATAACTCCATACTACTACTACTACTACTACTACTACTAATAATAATAATAAAAGAAAAGCATTAAAGTGTTATGGATTTATTATCTTTTTTATTGCTCGTGGGGTGGGACTAAGCCCCTTGTACTGTGGCCACTTCTGGCCTATTGTACCAGCCCCAGATGATAGGTGAGGGTGATTGTGGAGCAATTGGTGGAATGAAGATTGGCAGGGGAAACCGAAGTACTCGGAGAAAACCTGCCGCGGTGGGAAGCCAGCGACTAACCGCTTGAGCTATGGCGCGTCCCTTCAATTTATTAAACTTCTGAAATATGATACAAACTGATTTCCTGTTTCTATGTATTACTGAACATTACAAAGGATAAACATCATGTCATAAAGACAAAACTTCAAGCTACATGCTAACAGCTTCATACTGGTTTCATGCTTGGCTTATTCATTGACTCAGAAGATGGAGGCGCAATTTTCCACCGAAATGTATGGTGATTTTTAATGTTCTACACTGCGTTATACCCCAGAAAATAAAACTTATGATCACCACCGAGGTGAGTGGCCAGCTCAGGCTCCTAGAGTTTTACTGCCAATGAAATATATAGTTTTCTCTGATTCTGTAACACTGCTTAATTATTTTGTCCACTTCACCGCATATATTATAGAACGACAGAATGATAATGAATGGTCGTGGCCTGTTTTAAATCTTTGTACGTGTATTCGTATCCCGGAACTAAGGAACACCATGAAACCTATTGGGACAGCCGTTGTGTCGACCGAAATTAGAGCCTGGAACCTAGCGGATAAGAAGACGGCGAAACCCTTCAGCTTGACGCTCGATGCAGGCACTACCAGATGCAGTGAACAGAAATGTCCTCAGTCCACACTGGGGCTTAACCCGGCAAGAGATACGACTCAACCCACAGAGTTCACTCCTGTCGACAAAGGCCTCCGGACGTAATCTCAGCCAAGAGGCCTGTTATCATGAAAAGATTTGTTTCGAGATTTTCCTCAGTCTCCTCAGGTAAATATTACAGTATTGTATAAAAATATGCCACGCCTAGTTCCACATATTACAGCTAACCTTTCACAATAATACTACCATTGTACACCGTATAACGTATGCAGTTTCACAACCATCAAATACGTTAGAAATAAGAGACGTTGAACACCGGACAAGTGTGTCTTACGTCAGCAAGTTCTCAAGGGCAGACCCAGGGACGTGTGCTGACCGTGATGTTACCGAGCCGCTGGCAATTGGAGGCCAGATAGTGCAGAATTTTATATTAGGTAATAAACACTGTGCGCACGCGTGGACTGCGAGTCCCCATACGGTGTCTTTCGGCCACCTCAGCTTTACTTTAAAGGTCCCCATATGGTGTCCTTCGGCTCTTAAAGGTTAATGTAGTTTTGAGAGACAAGTGATTTAAGGAAAATGTAAAAAGAAATCGTTTACTTAACTGACTGTATAACCCAACTCCGCCATTGGATATGGTCGTGCGCCCACCGACCGTCTGCAAAGCATATGTTCGTCTTCCAACAAGCCACCTTACAAGACATTTTAGTACAAAATTACACATTTCTTGTTTATTACTTCCTAGCTACATGCCCATCCCATTGTATTCCCCATTTAACTATCCTACCAATACTTGGCAACGCATCATTTTCCTTCATTTTCTGCTTCAGTTATCTCTTCTTACGTCTAGATATTGTCCTAACAGCTTGTTTTCACACACTTGAAAATTAATTTGTTGTCCTTAACTTAGAAGCTACGTTTCAGAACCATACGAGACAACTGGTAAAATGAAGCCGTATGTGTGCCCATCTTCAGTCTTTCTAAGGACAAGAGATTAATTATGCCTTTTTTTTTTGTTTATTATATACAGGCAAAATCGGCGAAACTTTAACGTTCCATTTTAATATTATCCTCAATTCTCCAGTATCTGTTTTTCCATGAAACATGACCACAATTTTTCATTCGCCTACATTATTTTACTTCCTTTTGCATGCTGCACAAACTGCTCATCTGAATGCCCTTTACATTGTTATAGCAATATTAGCTCTGGTAAGTGAGCATGCTTCTGTCAATAAAGTGACTGGCTGTGGAGCTGCACGATCGAGGTTCGATCCTCCATCAGAACATATTTTTTTAACTTCCACGCCCAACAGGTGACACCAAAATATACCGTGGGGCCCTCTCCCCGAATGGCTTAACACCCTCCTTCACGA